ATAGCACCTGACACATAGTAAGTGCTGTAGTGAGTGTCTGATACCTTGAAACAATAATGACTTTTACTTATTAAGTACCTACTCTCAGTCAGCTCCATTATGCACATTATTACATCTAATCCTCATAACAATTCTCGACACATATATTATTTTGCAGATGAAGAACCAAACCCAAGAGGTCAGGTGGTTTGCCTAAGGCAAGTGGCAGGAGCTGAGATTGGAATTCAGGCCTTTTGAGTCTAAAAATGCTGATTGCACTTTCATTATAGCATTTCCCCCATAAGACTCAAAAGCCACTTTTACCGAGCATTTACTCTATACCTGACATTTTCACATCTGGTGCCTCCATGACTGCACCAACCCCTCTCATTTTGCTTGCTCCTATTTCAAGACAAGGAACTGGGTCTCATGGAAAGAAAGGCATCTATGTGAGTGTATACCCAGGACTTGAATCCAGGTCTTTTAAGGCTTAAGCTGTGCACCCCTCAAGCCATGTACTGAACACACACTCTGTGTGGCTTTCCCTTTGCTTACCTCCCACATCCAAGCTTTTCAACTTGAAAATTTTCAGGCTTATGAAGAAGTTGAAAGAATAAAATAATAAATACCTAAATTCCCTTCAACTAGTTTCAGCAATTATTTTTATCATAAGAGTTTTCAAAGGTACAGAAAAGCTACAAAGAAATAATAAACAAGGCAAAGAAAGTCACTTTTCAATGAACAAGTACACAATAAGCAATAAGATCTACCTGTGATGAATATGTACACACCAAATAACATAGCATCAAAATTCATAAAGCAACTACCATCTGAGTTATTATAGGAACAAACAAAAACACCTCAGGAGTATGAGACTTTAATTCATTTCTCTCAAATGAAAAATCAAGTAAGGACACAAAACATACATAACATCAAAACAAGGAGATATGCTTAAAGGAGTAGTGGGGGAGCAGAGAAGGGGGGGAGACCTAATCCAGACTGGTGTAGCGGGAGAGTAACAAGTGAGTACACTTGGGAAGATGGTCACTACAATCAGAGAGAGTGAGTTGTGACTGTACCTACTGGCCGAGAGAGGTATTAAACTCCAAACTGCTGAGGGGCAACATAAAAACCATAGCCCTTGAAAAAAAAATGTGAACTGGAGTCTTTCATCCCCTTCCTAAGTACAAAACAAACAAATTCCCTGTCCTTCAGCAAAGCAGCTTCTGCTTAGGTGGTGTAGGTCAAATGTCTTCAGCAGTCAGGCAGATCATTCCATAAAGGATATGGGAGCAGTGGAGCTAACTGTCATCAAAGAACACAGCACTGCCTGAAGACTCCATGGGCACTTGTTAAACATAGTGCAAATCAAACAGTACACACTTGGGGACCATATTCTCCTCCTCTAAGGGCAGCAATTTTTATCCCGATTTGTACTTATGGTTTTCTTACTTCCCTGGCTGAGGTTTGAGACTGATGATTTGAGATGGTTTACTGCATTGGGTGGAGAATGAGATGTTTAAGGGGTGTAAGGGTGTAAGGGAGGTAATCATATAAGGGGTGGAGTGTGCAAAACCCTGAACTGGGTGAGGGTCTGTGGGCAGAAACTCTAAGCATTACTAGAACCTCCTAATTATAATTGAGAGTTTTATTTGTATGTTCCAAATTATAACCTAAGGCTGTTAGGCACACCCAAGTAAAATGTAAGTGCAAAATAGTATCTTCCAATGGATTTTATGATCTTCAAGTACTGTGGTGCCCATTGCCTTCTCTAAGCCTTATATACTCACAATGTGAATTATCTGCTTCATGTGGATGAGGAAAGTTCTGGACTTAAGCTGTCTGTCTAGATGACAGCATCATGGCTGGGAGGAGAGTGTGGTGGAGACAGAATGTGCCACCATGGACCACCTCACACCACTGCTGCTCTTGGTGTGCTCGAGTGAATGTACTAGTGGGGAAGTATGCCAGAGAAGACTGCAAGCCTCTGGAGGAAGCCCAGCACATAGCCACCACACATGCAACAGCAGAAGGTGCAGAGACAGGTGACTACGTGGTGTTTCTCTTGGCTACCTATGGCCTGTGTGGTGCACATGAGTGGTGCAAAGTTCCTGGGTGCCCTAGAGAGAGAAAATACAAATGCTGAAAGTAACAGTGGACTGACAGATACTGGGGTCATGGAAAAAGTCACTACACATAAGAACTCAAAACTGATAAAAGGATTTCATATTCTGGCCAAGACGGAATAACAGAGACCAGATTTACCCTCTGTATTAGTCCATTTCTATTCCTTATAATAAAATACACAGAACTGGGTTGAGTAATTTGTAAAGAAAACAAAATTTATTGCTTATAGTTTCTGAGGCTAGGAAGTCCAAAGTCTATCTGGTGGTGGTGACAGTGACCCAGGGGTCTTACACTGCAAGATGGTGGAAGCAGAGAGAGCAGAGAGAGCGAGCCAGACTCTCTTCTCTCTTCTTTTAAAGCCCTCAGAACCACGCCCCTGACCACCATTTTTAATCCATTCACTAGGGCATGGTCCCACAGTCTAATCACCTCTTCAAGGCTCCACCTTTCAATTACTATAACAGGATTTCCCACCCTCTTAACAGTTACAATGGGGGCCAAGTTTCTAATACATAAAACTTGGGAGACACAGTTTAAGCTTCAGGGAGTTTCGGGGGGATATAATTCAATCCACTACACCTTCCCACCAGAAACAACTAAAAAACTGGACAAGACACATGAAACAACAGCAGACTTCTTGTTAGAAGCATGCAAGCCAGAAACACTGGAAAACATCTTTAAAGTACCAAAAAGAAAGAAAGAAAGAAAGAAAAAAAACCTCTACATAGGATTCCATGTCTAGTGAAAGTATTTTTCAGAAACAAAGGCAAATAAAAACTTTTTCAGATATTAAAAAGCTTTCAAGGCATTCATCGCCAGCAGAATCACGGTACAAATGAAAATCTGTATCTACACAAAGGAATGAAGAGAATCAGAAATGATAAATAATGTGGGTAAATATAAAAGATATAAAAGATCTGAGGTTTTGTTTGTTTGTTTGTTTGTTTGTTTGTTTGTTTGTTTTGGTGGCTGGCTGGTACAGAGAACTGAACACTTGACCTTGTTGTTACAAGGCTGCCTGCGCTCTAACCAACTGATCTAACTGGACAGCCTAAAAGATCCTTTTTCTGATTTTTAAAATCTCTTGAAACATTAATTGACTGTTTAAATCAAAACAAATAAAAGTGTCTTCCAGGGTTGATAACACACATGGTAATAAACGTGCTGTAACTCTATGCTATGACCACAGTAGCACATGGGCAGGGAAGAAGGAAGCCCACACCGTCAGGTTCTGTCATCTGTGCACAGCGGTATAATACCACATCATACCACATGTCCTCATGCTGTGCAAAGACTCTGGACTTGAGGAAACTAGTTTCCCATGGAGCTCTGAGAGACTTTTGGAAAGTCACTCAACTTCTTTGAAGCTCAGTTTTTTTTAATCTATACATTGGGGATAGCAATTTTTTGACATTGCTCTTCAGTGTGTGGCCCATGACACATTTTAAAAATCCAGATCTCAGGCTCTACCCCAAAATTTTCATTTAAACAAGCTTCCCACGTAACTCATAAATACCATAAAGATTGAGAATCAATGTGGTAAATAGAGTATAACCAGGTGCTTTTAAAACACTAAAACACTGCTTTAATATAAAGTGTTTTGTAATAACCAAGAAAATAGAAACTGGGTGTTTCTCATTTATCACTATGATTGCATTTGCAGGAACTTTCCCCTTTATTTTCAGCTTGATATAAGATGCTATTTTACAAAGATAATGACAAAACATCAAGATTTGTGTTAACATGATAATTCCTATTTAGAAAGGTTTTGTTTTGCTCCAGTTTTCTAAAGCAGCAGAAATCCCTACCAGTGTTATACCTTTCAGATATCAAAACTCTTGAATAAAATGAGAATTCAGTCAATCAACTACATCCTCATTTCTCCAAATTGACTGATAATAAGAATAACCTGGCTGCTTGTGATTGTAGGTTTTGTTTTTAACTGTGAGGTACTTTAGTCTGTAACTGCTGTGAACTAGGGCGGTGGGCTACAGGCAGTGCTAACTATGGGGATGGGAGGATTCCCTGGCAAGGACCACATCAGGGCTTTCCTGAGCCCAGAGGGAGCAGAGCAGAAGGACACCAGCTCCCTGCAGCTCCTGAGCTCAGAAGGTACCAGCTTCAGCTTCAAGAGCTGGGGAACTTGGCAGCAAGGTGCAGCAGGGCTGTGAGTTGATATGTGAGGCCACCTGTGTCCTTCTGTACCACAGACAAGAGGGAGCACTGTACTCCAGTGGGTTGCTGCTTTCCTTAAGATTCTGAGGGATGGACAAGTGGCCGCTGGTCATCTGAGGGTGTACCCTGGACCTGATACCGCCTGGCTCAGGGCCAAGAGTTGCAAGTTTCATGGAATGTGGGGAGCCCTGGTCTCGGGGTTCCCATTCCTGCACCCTACACGATGCATGGACAGGCAATATGGCTCTGGCAACCTGCTGGAAGTTGGCTCTTGGGTTATCATCTTCTCCACCCCTTGGGTAGGATCCCCTTGCCTCTGGGAGGGGAGCCGGGAACAGTTCCACACTTTGGGACTTTGGAGTGTGGAACAATAATAACAATCGCCCCAGGTCAGTTGCTTGCCCAAGTTTCTGACTCAGTAGTCTGGGGCAGAGGCAGTATTTACTTCTTTAAGTTCCCAAGTTAATGCTGATCCTGGTGGTTGGAGAATCTCACTGATTTAGGAATTACCTCAGAGTTTATTGAACCCTTTCATGCATTGTCTCATTGAATCCAGGTAACTAAAGAACTGTTGAGTTAAAATTGGTAGGATTTCAAGAGTACTGTGAATACTGTGGGGTAGCTATTCAAAATTCTCACCGTCCCCGCTAATATTCACTGAGCAGTGCTTTGTTGCAGGAACTGAGCAAACATCAGCTCAGAGAAGTTCAATAACCTACCCAAGAGTGACCCACTGGAAGTAGAAATAGGATTTGGAGCCAGGCAGTCTGAATTCCAGGTCCACGATCATCTTCATTCCACAGCATTGCCTTTCCTACATTGACAGTATAATACCTGTTACTCATAAGATACTTGTGATAATTAAGCTTAAGTACCAAACCCTGGGTCAGCCCAGCTTCCTTTAGACTTACAGAATCTTGCTCCAATTCCCCTCAGGAAAAGGAGGAAACCTATAAACCAAAGCTGGGAAGCAACCAGAAAGCAAATGAGCTCTATCAACCAATTATTTCTCTCTCTCTCTCTCTCTCTCTCTGTCTGTCTGTCTCATAATGGTCACTTCCTTGTGGTACCTTTTCCTTTCAGCAAATCTCCATGCTCTTCGATCATTTGGGTCTCCACTGTGATCTGACATTCTTTTGCCAGCCACCCTCACTGTAAATGAGACCAATCTCCCCATATTTTGTAAACAGTTGCTCCAAGGCAAGAATTGGAGAGTCTGTGGCACTGTGTCAATCTCGGCTGTTTTGTGGGTCACTCCCTGGCCTCTGAATGGGCTTCCTTGGGTCAGGTGATTACCAATAGTGCAATCAGCTATGGTGGGGAAGAGAGTGTGGTCTCATTGTATAAATCATAGCAGAGTTGGTGTGCAATGAGTTTGTCCATTAAATGAATTATTATTACTTGAGATAAGAAAAATGTTGAGAGATTTCATGTCTGTTTTGTTACATACCTATTCCCACTAAGCCATTTTCTGGAACCAGCCATGCCTTGTGCTATTTCTGCAAAGGTCGGTGTGCTAAAGGCTTGCAGGGACTCTCCCAAGCTGGAGAAGGGACCAGAGTCCTAGCCACAGTCCTCGGCTGCTGCCACACAGAGCTATTTCCTCAGGGACAGGGACAAATTGCACAGAACAACTAACGTTTTTACATGAGTGAACATATAGTTTACATAAATATCAAAGGAAATCTTAAATCAATAGAATCTGTACCAGGAAGTCCACTTGGAGTATGCAAGAGGTAGAAATGCTATAGGGAGATGCTGTCCTACAAAGGCACACATGAGTGTGTCACCTGTTGTCTCCTTCTCCTCACACACAGCTGCAGAGCCCGATAAAGTCAGGGCTCTGAGGAAATGGTCTCATTTTTCACATACATTGGGACATCTCTGACACTCAGTCCATCATTTGAACCAATATCATGACAGAAGTTCATTTCAACAAAAGCACTGGAGGCCCTGTTCCGTGCCAGACACAGTGCAGGTGTTGGTGTGAAAGGTGACTGGGGTGGAACCCAGTTCCCCAGAGCTTTGTTGAATGGGGAAGATGGATATTAAACAAAAATTCACTGATAGCAGTATGAACAAGGGAGACACAAAAGCTGTGGGGTCAGGCAGACCCAGCTGTGTCTGGTTGAGTCCTGGGTCTTCCCATTTCTAAGCCAGTGGTTCTTGAAGGCCAGCATGCCAGAACTGGTTGAACACAGATCACTGGAGTATCCCCAGGGTGTCTGATTCTGTAGGCCTGGGTGGGGCCTAGAAATCTGCATTTCTGATAGATTCACAGGAGGCATGGCTGCTGCTGGTCTAAGGTCTACACTTTCAGAAACCCCACTCTACACAGTGTAGCCTTGGGAAGGACATTCTGTTTCCTGCCTGGGCATCTGAGTGTGTGGTAATGCCATAACCGACTGCAAGAACAAAGAGAAAGAGCAGGTTGGGTCCCTAACATGATTTGAATGGGTCCCCCCAAATTTCATGTGGTGGAAACTTAATCCCCAAATTCATATGTTGGTGGCATTTGGAGGTGGGACCTTTAAGAGGTAATTAGGATAAGATAGGGTCATGGGGGAGTGGGTCCATGATGGGACTGGTGGCTTTATAAGAAAAGGAAAAGAGACCTGAGCTGACACTCTCTTGCCTTCTCACCATGTGATGTCCTCTGTCATGTTATGACACAGCAGGAAGCCCTCACCAGGTGCCGGCATCATGCTCTTGGACCTCCCAGCCTCCAGAACTATAAGAAATATTTATTATTTTTCTTTATAAATTACCCAGTCTGCAGTATACAGTTATAGCAACAGAGAGCTGACTAAGACAGTCCCTCACCTCCTAATGATGAGCTTGATACCGGACCTGCTGAGCTGGAAGTATGTGCAGGGCACACACATGCAAATGACTGATAGACAGTTGCAAACATGAGTCTGGCACTCGGAGGGCTGCTGAATGGCAGTCATTGGTGCAGTGGTGGAAAGTGAAGTGGCATGACTCCTGAAGACATCTAGAATGAGAGGAGGAGGACCTTGTCCTCACGTTCTTCTCTTCTGTCTTTCCCTCCCTCCCTGACACCCACCCTGACCATTCATCTTCAGTAGTTTGCATTACGGTGTTCATCTGGGTGTTGACAGCACTTAGATTTAGCCTCTTTGCCCCAAATCAGAGCAACCCATGGGGTCGGCTGAAACCTCCTATTATAGCATCGCTGTTCAACTTCTCCCTCACCCAATCTTGTCCCTTCCTGTCCCTCTCTTTCCCCAGGTATTACCAAGAACACACTCCAATGAACATCCTGTGCACTAAATCTACCTCTGAGCTGGCTTCACCTCACCCCAGAACAGCCCACCCTATAACCCCATACCCAGCTCCATAACCAGAGCCTTGGAGGGGCCAGCAGAGGTCCAGGCCACTCCCATTTTTAGAGGCTACTGGCATAGAAAATGAAACAAAAAATGCTAAAGTGGGAATATAAAATTTGTGGTACATTCTCAATGTTTATATAGAATACATTAGAACAGTTAACAAAGGTAGGCAAAAACAAATGCAGTATGATCATGCTACTTATAACTATAAGGTTTAGTAAAAAGATATGCATCCTCAGCGACCAGATCCAGAAATGAAACATGTATAAAGCAAGATGAAAAGTCTCTTCTTTCAAGTTTTTCAGGTTATAGACAGGGTTTCATACATGGGTGTGGTACAGCGTTACAATGAGGGCCACTGAATCACACAGAATCATGTGCCCAAGCTGTGCCCTTGAGAGTCAGTCCTCTATAAGTTGATGCTGGGCTCAGCAGGTGACCTGCTTTGGCCAATGCGATCTTTGCAAATGTGACAGCAGGAGCTGCCCGAGCTCTCGCCTGCTGGGACTTGCCTTCCCCACCTCACCGAGAAGACGTGAGGCCACAGGAGGATGCAATCACTCAGAGATCAGGCCCCCTGGACTGCGCATACCCCAGTTGCCCCCAGCCCACCTTCCCTCTGACTGCAGTGCAGGAGGGGCCTGGGCAATGCCAGCGGGAGCCCCACCCCACCAGGTCCAGCCTAAACCCCTGGCCCAGAAAGTTGTGAGCATGCAAGATGGTGAGGGTTTTTAGTCACTGAGTTTAGGGAGGATTTGGTGAAATTCCACTTGGAAATAAAATTAAATTTGGTTCCCTTCTGTCCCATCATAGGCCCTACCTATGCCCTCTGCCTTGTGTGAAATTTGAGTTAGACTAAGGAGACAGCCCGTCTTAGGAACATGAACTACAGAATCTAAAAGACTGAGCCTGCTGGCGGTGGACAGCGAAACTGTAGGGAAATTGACTGGCTGGTGCTCAGGAAGCCATGAAGTCTTGAAGAAAGCCAGTGAAGGGGGCAGACTGCATGAGAGGGCAGCCTGCAGGATGAGGGGCAGAGAGAAGTGGAATGGTCCAGAGCAGCGTGTGCCCCCCAGGAGGAGTAAATTCCCCCAAGGCACCTCTGCCTTGTCCTACACGCAGATTCTCCGACACAAGCCCTTTTGTCCAGGGTAACTAGAGCAAAGCTTTTCTTTCTTGACTCCAGTAAAAGAAGGAAAGGAAAAGAGCAATGCTCTAGTGAAATATGTAAAGGGTTTGAAGAAAAAAAGAAGCAGCTTGCCCAAGGGTGTTTATTGTGGTACTATTCATAGCAGCCAAAAATTGGACACAGGCCAAATGCCCAGCAGTGAGGCATGTGGCGGGTGTTGATTCATAGAAAGGGGTGCTGGAGGCAGCTACGCCCAAACGGAAAATGGAGCTCGCGCCTCTTGAATTGAGATGGAAACACACACGTCATAATTATTGGGAAAAGGCAAAAGGTCATATAGGTAGTTGACATTTTCAGTATTTTTAACTCTTCCTGCAAGCTTGGGAATATGAGGGAAATTTTAAGTGATAGCTGTTCTTTCACAAGTGGCTATAAAGAGACCTCAGTGCCACACAGCACTGCTTTCTCCTTTTCTTTCTTAGGTGTACATCCACCAGAGTGGAGCTCCCCTGTGTGCCTGGGCGGGGCATGCATGTCACCTGACTAGGTGGCAGCTGGATGTGTGGGGTAAGAGCCTCCTCAAGTGTAGAGGGAGCCCTGCCCGGCCCTTTGACGGACCTGTCAATATAATGGGAGTGGGACAGGTACAGAGTGTCCTGTCCCATGCATGAGACACAGAAGTACATTCTTTGGACACTGTCACCTGACTGGGCGGCTGTTCTGAGTGTCTCCTTCCCCAGAGGAGAGGGTCACTGAGGCCATACCAGGTCAGTCATCCTACTGGCGGGATGAGCAGGAAGAATAATGGTCCTGGGAATCACGATAATCCCCAACATATTCTTTTTTTTTTTTTTTTTTTTTTTTCTTTTTGNGTTGAACATGTTTTTCCCTTTCAGGTTAAATTCTCCAAAAAGAAAAAGAAAATGTTATACAGGGTGAGAAAGAAAAGTGAAGGGTCAATTTTAAAGAGGAGGAATAAAGTGCTTCAGGAAGAACAAAGAGCCAGGCATGGCTCTGCAAAACGTAAACAGGAGAAAATCAGAAGGAAAATAATGGAGTGGCTTGAAAAGGCAGGATTGCAAAAGAGGGTCTAGATGGATGGAGGTCAGGGTTAGTAGAAACTGATTTTGCAAGAATGTGCTGATTCCTGATCATTACATAAAACTCCATACCCTGGTAAGGTAAAGAGATAAATGTTAAGCTCTTTTTGCACAAGTAAAAAGAATGAGTGTCTGCTTTAAGATTTGAAAGATCTCAGCCAAAACCACCTGCCTAGAAATGATCTTTCCCATTCAGGTGGCACATTGTTTAAAATGCCTTTATGTGTATCTTCTTTTTAAAGTCACATATTCTAAAAGAAACAATGATCAGAAATAAAGGGCATTGAACTAGCTGTTAGAAGAGCTAGGCTGAGAGTCTTGGCTCTTCTTGGGGACAGCCACATCTCTTTGATCCTCGGTGTCTGCTTTATCTGTGATAAAGTACCACATTCATGTGAGGGATTACTGCAGACACTGATGTCAGGGTTTGGTTTCAGAGTCTCTGACAGGTCAGGTCCCTGTCTTACCTGTCTTCGTGCTACTCAGAGTTCAGCATAGGCCTGGCACACAGGAGGCAACCAATACATGTTTGATAACATGGAAAAAAAAATCAATTTGTCATTCACATAATCCTTGGACGTATGACTCATTAAGTCAATGATATAGCAAAGTCTATTTCACAAATAAGTATTTTTGGTCACTGAAAGAATCCAGAGTTGCATGAGAATTTAGTCCTCTCATTATACGTATGTATACCTAAAAACATGTAAAGAAGTTGAATATGCGCAAGTTGAACAGCAGATTTTTACATTTTAGGGGGCATTATCATTCCTAGAGATTTCCCAGATATAAAATTCTCAATAATAACTCATGTTTTATACATGCTCTTTAATTTTTTCTTGTTGTGGACTAGTAACCGTTTGATCCACTTGATGTTAAAAATTTGCATCTTTTGGCATGACTGATCATTTCAATTGTATTAAATTTGTTAACTTTACATTTCCCATCATTAGCATTTTTGTAATTTCCACTTATTTTGATA